CACAATGCACGAAAAAATTGTGTGAATGCGTGAAAGAAAATTGCACATGATATTCTCGAATACAACAGAGATCCACATATCAGAAAAACATAACATATGGGTAGATTATCAATTCAACAGCGTGGCATAGCCCTATGATTGGTCTACGCTGGAGTACACCAATCACAGACTGGTAAAAATAATTTGTTTATATAATTATTTAAACTCCATTGCACTGTAAAAGCTGAAAATCATTTAAATTCAGTTCCTTCCAAAGACGAACGTAATTGCATATTTGTTTTACTTATTACATGTTTATACCATTTGGAGGTTGCGCAACGCATGGTGGTCACCGCAGTGTAATACCAAGCCTTAAGAAGGCTTATCTTCATAACAGAGTAACTGGCAGTGTTTATAACATTCCTCGCCGACCACAAAATTATCTCCAACGGTATGCTACATTGATGCGACGACGCTCCAAGGCTGTTGTGCACAGTCAGAGTAGCACACAAGGTTTAAGCACATTATTTTGCAACATCGACTTTCGACACGCACTCACATTTTTTAGAAATGCATCTTAAACCTTATCTTAAATGAAAAAAGAAAACAAATAAAAATAATAGCCTGTCTCTTTTCTGTATTTATTGAAAATTTCAGCATGATCGGGCAAATATTGATACACCTATGAGACCATTTATGCATGCACACTTATAAGATTTGTTAAGTGTATTGTATTACGCATACAACCAACCAGGTATGACACCGATAATTTCGATCTAGTTATTAAAATTCTTTATCATAAAATAATATTTTTTCACATGAACAAGTATAATTGATCTAAGAAAGAATAAAACAAAATAATGAATAGACGCTTGTTTTTTTTTCTCAATTCCCTGCAATTTTTTTTTCAAGATGCTCCTGTGTGTTGGATATCAAAAGTATATGTAAAAAAGAAATACAAATATTTGACACAATTCATTTTGGAAATAATATTATTAATTCTAGTATGTTTGGTTAAATATAAAACCATGCGTACGATTATCATGGCTTTACTGTCGCGTCGGTTTATACATTTCCCCCGAGATATTGTTTAACATCAAAGCATTTTAAAAATTTGCATAAACTTTCAGCTGAAGACACATGTAGACACAAAATTGATTTCGGAGAAAACAGTATTATACTTTACATAATTCAAATATGTTTGATTTTATATATAATTTCGTAGGCGTGGCGTTGTTACTTCGGCGCGATATAATCAAACACGTGCACTATTCTAATTTCTAATACAAATTATACATTTCGATAATATACGTATAAGTAGCTCTATCTGATTGCACTTTTATTGATAACCATTATTTAATGTTATAACTTACCTTCAAACGCTTCAATTTGTTAAGATAATGTTATTCTAATTAAGGAAAAAATGACACATCAATGATTGTCTATCTACATCTCTGACAAAACATAACGACACACGCATAGCTATTATCAATATTTAAAATCACAACTGTCTTGAACACTAAGTGAAAACACAATTGATATAACATATTAAAAAGAAGGACTAAATCTTTTTTTAAATTATTTATCAGAACATGATTATTATTATCCATAACGAAGGTTGTCATATTTAAAAATCGCTGCAATACATGCTTTAAAAACACTCCGGTGTGTTAGAAAATTAATGAATTCCAACAAAAGTTATACCATTAGATGCGGAATTCATTTTGAAATAAAATGGTATATGATTTAACTATTTTGGAGTAAAGTTAAGACCGTACGTGTGATTCTAATGGCACTACCCCTAACCGTGTGATTATTACGCCGCCGCGTAATAATCACACGCGTGGTAATAATACCACACGCGCGTGGTAATAATACCACACGCGTGGTAATATTACCACGCGTGTGATAATTACGCGACACCGGTTCTAATACACATTTATATGTAGGTAGGTAGCTAGATAGATGGACGACTTTTTGTATGCTGAATAATTATAGTTTTGTTTAGTATAACATTTCACAAAAAGTTATTAAAACACGGTACGGCGGCTTTGTATCGTATTTCAAACATCTGTATAAAATTTTAAATGCGTTATATATTTGGTTATTTGATGAGACATAATGCATAATAATAATAACATTATCTGAAATTGACATTTACATTATCTACAAAATTTACTATTTCTTTTGCATTGTCAAGAACAAAAGTTTAAACAAAATTTGAAACGTATGAATACGAGTATTAAGAATATATGTTAGTAGACATTATTCCAGAGACCCTGTACATGATCATGATGGATTTCTTTGTCTTTTTTGTCAGAACTAGTTGTCTATTAAAATCAATGAATTTAATACTCTCACCGTCTTTTAAACAATTAAAAAAACACCAAAACGAAAAATTGATTATTCATTGTAAATATCAAAAGCATAAACAAACACGATATCTTTCAACTAGTTATATAGTAATCTTTAATTTTTTGGATTCAGAGATAACTCAAATTTTCATAAATAGACATCCTTCGACGGAAGAAAGGGACAAAATTTATACTTGTACAGTAGACAGTGACATATTTAATCCGTCAACATTTCAGCGAAATGTTTATTATTTATCATCTTGATGTGTTATTTGTTTTAACGTAAAAATGCAATACTTTGTTTGGTTTATTGGTTGTCTGCAAGGAATGCCTACAAAAAAATATATATGTAGGCCTTAAATGAACATATCAAAGTGTTTCACAACATTAGATCAACAAGGAAGGGCAATGTTTATAAAATGCATCGCCCGAACACCAACTCAGGGCACTATGCAGGGGCAAAGCGCAGGATGAAGTGGCCAAATGTAAATTCATAGACATATTCTAGGCTGAAAAGAGACAAAGCTATGCCAAAAAGGAATCAACCAGTACTAAGCAATGAAAATAAAAAGTTTGCCCACGAAAACAACGACATGTCTTTGATGGAATTTGAAACAACGCGGCCAGCAATCTTAGATTTTTAGTCCTACGCGTAAACCACTCGACGCGTTAAAACAGTATTGACAAAATATTGAAAATATTTAAACAATGTACTAAAATTTACCTCCTTTCAAATGTAACCGAAAATTATCAATAATCAATGTAAGAATATTTACCAGTTTCAGTTGCATCCGAAAACGTTTTGCCAAACTGAACCAACTGTTAGACACCTTTCTACTGATTCGCAAACAGATTTACCCGGAAGAGAATTTAGTCGACATGGTCGCCTATGTCATGTGATGCATTAACACAATTGTAGTTTGAAAGATTAGTGTGTGTAAATGTAGGATGTAACACTGATTAAGCAGTACAACTTCCATCTATAAAGTACTTTGTCTTAGAAATTATTTAAATAAATAAATTTTAAATAGGTGTATAAAATCTGATCTATTGATATGTGTATAAAGAAAAGAGTGTTTTTATTATTTTGTTATTTGTTTCATTTATTTATTTTGTCTCAAGTGGGAAGCTTTATTGGTCAACCAAACCTTTTTTGAAGTTCTGTAGAACAAATGATTTTATAAAAGTTTCATAGAGGTTTCTTACACAGTGAATATATGACATCCTATGGAGTGTATTTTCTCAATTAAGAAGATTCGTTAGTGTGCAGCCATGTGGAGGACTGATTCGCAAACAGACTTACCCGGAAGAGAATATACTATGATTCCTGACTTGTCAGCAAACATTATCACCATAGCCTTCTCCCCATATATGCAAATGGTGACGAAGTATGCACCACAATGTTCCGTAACCACAGTCGGTCGCCTCAATAATTTCTTCTATGGTTTGCCGCCTATCTGTGTCAAGACACGTTTTGACGTCGTTAATCATGCGCGCGTTGATTATTGTATTTTGTCCACATCTTTTATCGTCCATTTTGTTTTCCCGTCCATAACTAAATCTCTTATGCCACTTAAACACTAATGATCGTGAAATTTTAATTTTTCTACGTTAATTATCAATTTTTAGCAAAAATAAAAATCTAACGATGACTAACTACGCCGTGACGTGCATGTGCTTATTAAAAAGCATTGTTATTAGCTGTAATCTCATTGGTCCAAACAGTAGTCAACAGAACTTTTTATAAAATCATATTCACTGGGTGTAGTATCATATTCACTGGTTGAATTGGATTTTCCCAGTCTAAAAATAGATTGAGACTCATATTAAATGACCATACACCGTAGACTGTTAATTACGCATGCTAATTAAAAAATAATTGTTGCGTTTTGTTCTTTATGACATATTTCTCGATTCAAATATCATTACTTTACTTCTTTACTTAAAGTTTTCACCACAATGATGAGTATAAACTTACTTTTGTATGCGCAGCGTTTGGGTAGTCGTTGCACGCCTACTACAAAACAATATTTCATAACAATCAATTGATATATTCTAGTGAAGTAAAAATGTCTAGATCAGAACATACGCATAGTGAGATATATATATTGTACTTCAATTAATTGTCTTATCATAATATTTTGTATAAATTTATGATTTCATGTACACTACACGTATATTCTAACCAAGAAATTTATTTCTTGAATAGCCAATGACACCGTTCACAAAAAACGGGACTTGTTAATGGTACAGGACCCAATGATGGTCGTATTGAGATGTATATTTATGGTCAATAGAGAACACTTGATTCGAAACATGTTAATATGGATGATGCCCGCACAATATGTAATACACACAACGCAAGGTAAACAACATATCTTCCTTCAAGGTATTTTGTTCATGTCCTAATTCTCCAACAACATAAATTGAATACCGTGACCATATCTATTTCATTTCTTAGTGCTTAAATTCTTTGGATTCACAAACTCGATTTCCCTAGAGAGCCCATGAATGATTTTTAACCGTACATAGTCAACTAAAGTTGCTTTCTATATCTAGCCCATTGAAGTGTGTTATCGACAGTAAGTTATCCATAGATAACCCATTGAGGTGTCTTATTCTATTAGTCTCTATTTTTTTAATTATTTGAAAAATTTTACCTTTCATTTATATATCAATAAATTTCAATGATCCATCAAGGTTATTAGTTTGTAAATACTCAACATCATAAGATTCATCTTCACCATCATGTAAAACTTGATACACAGCATGTGGGTAACCGTCTTTCCCTTTGGTTACTGAAAGTACTGATCCTATATACCACTTTAATGAGCCGTCATCTAACTTCCACTGATGATTTATTCTCCTTCCAACAAATTTCTGTTTTCTGATCCTGTCAATACATTTTGGTGTCATAAAATTTCAAGGAAAAACACTTAAAATATTGCAAATAAAGCACTGATATATTAAAATCTGTTCTGTTGCATGTTTTGAATATAAATTGACTTAAGTGCAACGTCAGATACTATGAATAAAAACTAATACATATTTGTATTTTTTTTTATTTAAATGTCAATATAATCTACTTGTTGACGAAATGATAATGACATGAACATATATGAAATTTGTTTTGTGTTAATCTTAACACCATTGCTGTGGTTCTTGCATTTATCTATGTTAACCATTCTAAATGTTACTTTTCATTACTGTTACACACCTATATTGCATTTATTTCTATATGCCCAAAATAATTTCGGGGCAAATTATATTACATCCCCTGGCGTCCGTCCATCCATCCCTTCATTAGCAATTTGGTTTCCGGAGCATAACGTAACTTCCATTTGACCCACAGTATTCAAAGTTCATAAAATGATTGTCCATATTGGGTAGAAGACCCCTATTGATTTTGGGGTCACAAGGTCAATGTCACTATTACCTTAAAACTGAAAACAGGTTCAGCTCAATAACTGAAGTATTAATCAACCTACAGCTGTAAAATTTTATATGTAGGATGAACAGCCATGTCCAATACATGACCCCTATTGATTTTAAGGTCATAATGTCAAAGGTCCGTGTCACAATGATCTTTACATTGAAAATTGTGGTTTCTGGAACATAACTTAAGTTCCATTTGGCCCACATTGTTCAAACTTCACAGAAAGATTGCCATTGAATAAAAGATCCATAAATATATTGGGGTCACAATGTGAAAGGTCAATATCAAATGACCTTAATATTGATAACAGTTTTACAACTGTCAAACTTCATGATCACTTATATTGAGTACATTCATTTTATGCCCTAAAAAATTGGCATATATTATGTTATACCCCTGGCGTCTTTCCGTCCATCAGTCATAGCACTTTTACTTACAAGATAATAAAAACTTAATGATGGTGCTTTGGAAACAGCAACTGTATATATATGAAACTTCTTCATCTATAAAGGAGGATTGCTTTTTGAAGGAGGTAATACTTTATTCAATTCCCATGTCTTACAAATGCTTCATCATTACTAAAACAAACATTTTGGGCATATAATGCTCCGCCTAGAGGTGCTGTTGTTTTCAATAGTCACAAAAGCAATCCATTTCATAAAGAAGTTTTCAAAACTGCCAATCAACAATAAGTGTTTTCAAACCAATTTAAAGTTAATGCCATAGTGAAATAATTATTCATTTACCTTTTACTCTGGGAACAAGATGGAGGTCTATCACTGGATGATGTTGATGGTGCATTTGCAACTGAACATTTGTCTGGTTGAACTGCTTTAATGATAGGCCTTTTCTTCAACAAAATATCTTCTTGATGCTATAATAATGTGACAAAATAGATTTTAAATGGTGTTGCCAAATTGATGTAAAAAAACTCATTAAGATAATGTATATTAAATATAATGCATACTATTAAAAAGAATAACCATCTATTATATGTAGCTGCATAACTTTTGTAACAAATGTACAAAGCTGGTGCAGGGTATTTGACAAAAATCAATAATAAACCCTTTGAATAATAATTTATTGATTTCTTCAATAAATTAATATAAATTGTAATTTTATACAGTAATGAAAACAATTGTTAAACATGCTTGTTGACTTGTGTGAATTTTTTCAACCTTTTCTAACAACTTACCCATGGTAAAGAAGGTTTTCTAATCCCGGAAACAGTTCCATGTCTAGGAACAGCTAATTCTGGTAGCATATGAGAAAAGTAAAAATCTTTTAATTTTGGAACCATTTTTCTTTCCCATAAATCTTTGTCTTTAAATATTCTTTCAATAAATATATCATTAGGGTTTATCCTTCTCACTACTAAGTCACACCAATCATAATCTAAAATATTAAGTTGTCCCTGAATTTGGTAGAAATATTTATGATTTCTTTTTAAACATATTTTTCCATTTTCCATTTTCAAGCAGAAGTTTTTATCACTTTCAGCAGCTTCATGTATTAATTTTTTACTGTTGTTAAGGAGTGTTTTTATCTCTATTAGCCCATTTGGTCCTTCTTCAGATATAACAATTCCATCACTTGATGAAGCTAAGTAAGGCCTTTCTTTATCTACTACAAGTCCAGGAATCTGTATAGTTTTTACAGTGTTGACACTTTTATTTTTTATGTTCTTGTACTCAATCCTTGCATTTTCTTCCTCGTTCTGCCCTCGGATTGTATAAATGTTTCCTTTAAATTTGGAATATAACAGCCGTTTTATGATGTTAGAAGAATTATTATTTAGTGATCTACTCATTACATCTCCAAATATTGAGCTGGTTAATCTTTTCTTCCTTTCATCATGCCATAAATCATTAGATGATTGTCCCCGAGTTTTTTTTTCTATTTCATCTATTTTCACATTCATAATCTCTGTCTTAAAATAATTTTCACATTCCAATTCTAAATTTTCTTTACTAATATCATCTGTGTCTATTAACACCTCTTCTCCATAATCAGCTTTTCCTTTCTTTCTCAAAATTGAGGATTCTTCCCTCTTTCTTTTTCTTCTTAAGATGTTTTCTTTCTTTTTTGAGGATTTATTAGCATTTAAACGTTTGCTGACTCTATATTTATATGTGTTAAGGAATATTTTGTCTGGTCTTTTTTCAAAAAATTGTTGAAAAGCTATGGGTGACCAAGCTGGCCCAAATATTGATCTTAATGCAGCTCCATAGCATCTTGCATAAAATGACACTTTAAAACACTTATTGTACATTTTTCCTTCATCAAATTTACATCGCACGTTCATCCATGCTTCTGCTAAATTGCTTGTGAAATTACAAATTAATCGGTTACTTTTTTCTGCTAACCGATTCAAAAATATATATACATCTTTTAAAAGAGAATATGTGATGAAATCAATTTTTGTTTGCGAACAATCTCCTTTTCTTAAACATCTCCAGAGTCATTTTGGAGTTCTTCAAAATCATCATTTTGGAGAAGAGGTGGTAAATCATCTTTTTTATGTTTACAAAAATCAGTAGAACACATATCGTGATGAACTATACATGTCTTCCAGCATTTCTTATGTCTTGCCTCAATTTCTTAATTGCTTCATTTTTGTTTTCTTCTTTGCTTCGCATAATTATAGCGCATCGTACCCCGGCTGTTATCCTTCTTATGTTGTTTTTGGTGAGTCTACCTTTGCCCTTATAATGAGTTTTTTCAGATACAAGCTTCTCTAAGTTTGAGCGTAAACATTTTGTGGCATGATTGGCACATTCTATTTTTTAAACATGCGGACCCCAAATTGGAATATTTTTGATAATCGTAGCATATACAGAACTGTCACCATCTGCAATCATCTGCATATATCTTAAACCGTACTTCTTTTCACATTCTCTGAAACCTTCCAATATTATGTCACTTTCCATCGATTGTGAAGATTGTTCCCAATTTTTGAAACATTCATGTTTTACTGGTTCCTGGTTTTTAGTTGCTGCCCGACTACAAATATAACATAGTTTATTTCGTATTCCAATATGAAGCAATTTTTTGGTCTTCAATCCAAAGATTACACCTACACCACCCATTGCATTATACGTATGCTTATGACTTCTTTTCGACCAGCCACCATCACAGACAACAGCTATTGCTGGTACACCCTGAAAATATTCATCATTTTCAATGGCAATTCTCTTCTCTTCCTCTCCAGCTGGTATCATTTCATCCTGCAGAACATCATTCCATAATTTTCCAATTTCAGCCTCAATTTTAGAGTAAGTCCTCTCATTAATTCCTGGAATGCCCATTGTTCCCATTGACTCATTCAAGGATGAGCAGCCACCACCAGTCACCATATTTCCCCAAACACATCTCAAATTAATTTCTTGTATGTTTTCATTTCCTATTTTATCACTGTTATCAATATTAAATTTTTCACCACATCCACAGCAAATGATAGTCAGAATGAAATTAAACCCCTGCTGTTTCTCAGAATGTGGAGAAACAACATTTTCTCCCTTAGCTGCCTTAGCCCTAGCTGAATCACACAATGCTGTGTGTGTTGTTATATTCATTACATGCTGCTGAAGTTGTTTAATGTTAACTATTCTATTTCCTTCAAAGTTTGGTTTCACTGAATGTAAATACATCTTATGACTTTCCTTGTCATTTATCAGTCTATAATTTTTACTAATTTTCGATGCTATTTGGGATACAGATATTTTCAAACTATTACTCTTTTTAACAACAGAATATGATTCACAATTTAAGTTCTTCAATGTGTCAAGTCTTTTCTCAATTAGTTTCTGTTTCTTGCCCTTTTTCACCTTTTCTACATGTATATAAAATTGTATCAGCAATAAGTATCATTTGCCATCATTTTATTCAATATTTTATTAATTAATTACTTCCTCATAACAGGTTTAATTGAACAATATTTAATTTGATTATATACTTAAAATGCAATTTTGATAAATACTGATATGTATAATAAAATGTTGAATTTTCATTTTATGTATTTTCATTTTAAAAAATATTTTTCAAAAAATTGAACAATATTTTCTGTATTTACATTGGTGTCTTGTCACAATGACTTTTACTAAATTCCGCCAATTAATCAAATTCAAAGGAACATATTTCAATTTTTAATGTTAAAGAGCTGTCACGCAAAAGTGCTGAATGACCCCAAAGAGGTTTCTCAAGCAATGCAGAAAGGTATTATGAAAAGAAAAGAGAATTAAATTAACTAATTGCTTAATATTATTTTGTTGAAATGAAGTGCTATTTATAGCATCTTAACACTTGAAATGAAGTGCTATTTATAGCATCTTAATACCTTAGGGCATTAGATGCAACACATCATCTTGATGTGGCAGATATTTATGCAAATTTATTTTAAAATCCTACAATGCATGACAATTTTACATTTTTTAAACTAATGTTCCTTCAAACTATTCTTATGAGCATAAGTACCTTCAAAGTAATAGAGCGAAATTGACCTTGAAGGTAGGAAAGTTGGACTTACATACGAGATGTCGTCTTCATGTGGTACACATTTGTGCCAAATCCTTTTAAAAGCATTCAATCAATGACAAAGTTTTAGTCGAGACACGAATGTGTGTACCCATTAACTTTAAGAGTTTTTTGTCGTAATGTGAAACTTAAGAAAGTTAGTGTGACCTTGAAATTTGAGGTAGGGAGATGGTTCTTTGACACAACACATTGTCTACATGTGGTACACATATGTGCCAAGCTATTTCAAAATAACTCAATGTATGACAAAGGTAAAGTCCGGAGACAAATGAAGTGACAATGCACAGGTAACAGACGAGGGGACAGGCAGACGGACATTGTAATTGTAATATATTGCCCTTCGGGGACATAACAAACAAGATTGCATTTGTGACAAATGCTATGCCACTGCATTAATGCAACACTAAATAGTAGTGTATGTACCGAATTTTTTTAAAGATTGCCATAATGCATAGATCACTGAACATCTAATTTTTATTATTAGATGAGTGGTTAAATGTATTGTTATTTAAATAAAATATCAGAGTAGGAATCTATCAATGCAGTTGAGTGTAGTGAATTTGGTGGTGAATGTCATATTTTACATGGCCAAAATTCCATGACTGTACATCAAAGCACATCACAGTAAGACACTTTGTTCACATCTAGGCCAGCTTATATAAAAGTTCAATTAACATCTTATCTGTGCATTTGGTTCAAATGTCAAAGCTTTAGATCAAAGGACTAAAGAGAAGGTGACATCATCCAAATCTAGGTGACCTGATATAAAAGTTCAATTTTACAAATAACTAGATATGTGTCAATAGGACACGGGTGCCCCCACCGCGCCACTGTTCTGTCAATCTTATGACTCTAGGTCAAATATTTTTTGAACACTAAAAATCTTTTACTAAGTAAAGGGCAAGAACTTTACAAATACTGAATAAATCCACAAGCAACCCCCAAGGTGCATAAGTACACATGCTGACCAACATTCTTGTAAACTTTCAGGCCTACAAGTGAAATACTTTTTGAGATATGCATGAACAAGTTGAAATTATACTACTGTAAATCAAGGGCAATAACTCTAACAAAACTGACACAAATGCACATGCAAAGTCCCAGGTGCATAGCTTCACAGTTATGTGAATCATTATTCCTGTAATTTAGTGATGTTGATCATTATTCCTTTAAAGTTGGTTGATTCTAAATGAAGTACACAAGGAACAAATAACAACATAATAACATAACTAAGTCAAGGGAATTAACTCTACAAATACTGGATAAATCAACAAGCGAAACACCAGGTGCACAACTACATATGCTGAGCAACCTTCTCGTAAGGTTTCATGACTCCGTGTCAAATCCTTTATGAGGTACATGCGACACAACTTGAAAATTGCAAATAAATTCTAAGTGAAGGGCAATAACTCTAACAATACTAAATACTAATTCACACAACAATACCCAGGTGCAAAACTACACATGCTGATCAACATTCCTGTAAAGTTTCATGACTCTAGGTCAAATACTTTTTGAGTTACATGCGACACAAGTTGAAAATTGCAAAATTTTACTAAGTCAAGGGCAATAACTCTAAAATTACTGAATTAATCCACACAAAAATACCCAGGTTCACAACTGCACATGCTGATCAACATTCCTGTTAAGTTTCATGACTAAGTCAAATACTTTTTGACTTACGTGCGACACAAAAGAGAACGGACGGACGGACAAGTGCCACTCAAGTGGGGGCACAAAACTTTGCACATAGTCCAAATTTCATGGCTGTATATCAAAGGACAAGAAAATAAGTCACTGTCCCCTTGGGCAAGTTAAAATTTTGACTCAAACAATCTTGATACAGGTCCACCAAACAACATTTCATGTAAAATATCTAAGCTGTAGCTTTCTCCAATTCAGAAAACATTTATTTAAGTATGAAGACTGTGTAGTGATAATCTTGCATATTTTTTTTTAAATCCATGAGTACACGTGTACTTTATCAAAATATGTTTAATGAGACTCTCATGTAAACAACTTAAATATTAAACTCTTACAATATAATAATATTAAACTCATTTACTGTCTTATGACCTAACATGCTTGAACCCTTCACCTGCTTGACGAAAACATAATGACATTTGTAAATTGAACCAGGCAATACACCATGTATCCTGATATCTATCAGTCTTAAACTGTTAAATATGGTCAAAAATGTTTCTTTATGATTGTATAAAACAATAACATAGATTTGAATCAGACGACAATTTAAATGCTAACAATGAAAGGATAGTATGCATCAGGGTTATTGAATTTTAATGGTTAAATTCTTTACGTAAATATCATTTGGATATTTAGAATTTAATGATGTCTGTTCTTTTTTTATACATTTTATACAACGTAGTTCAAAATGCTAGGTTTAGATTTACAATAAATAATTTTCTCACGTTTAGAATTATACATTGTATAGATCTACGCTGAACTTTAAGCTAGGAGTAAAATTACTTTGTTTCTTGCAAAATGCAGCACAAGCAGGTTTATTTTTGGCATCTGCTGTTATACGTTCATGTGTTTTCGTAATACTTACTCATACGCATAAAAACTCATCAGTAGATTAGTAATAATTTGATAGCTTATGTTTGAAAATTTGTCTTGTTATTGCTCCCAGATTTATTAACTTAAAGGTACATAGTACCTCAGAAAAAAATAGTCCTTTCGTTTTCTGAGGTGATAATTGGTGTTTGTATTGAAAGGTGT